CTCCTTCAGGCGCATGTGCCACGCACGCGGCGCCTGGCACCCGTACAAGGTGCGCTTGAGGCGGCAGACCTTCTACGGACCACCTTGCTCGTATCCCAGCGGCTGCTGCATGTAGATCTCCTCCTCGAGCTCCCCGTTAAGGAACGACGTTTTGACGTCCAATTGATGCAGATCCAAATCGTGCTCCGCAACCGCCGCCAACAGCGCACGCAACGGCATGTGCTTACTCACTGGGGCGTAGACCTCGTCGAAGTCAATCCCATGCTTCTGCAGTAGCCCTTCGCCACCAGCCGGGACTTGTACCGCCCCACAGTCCCGTGAGCGTCCCGTTTAATCTTGTAAACCCACTTTATGGGAACCGGCTTGACCCTTTCCGGGTTTTCGACGGTCTTCCACGTCCCGTTCTCCAATAGAGAACGCATTTCCTCGTCCATTGACTTCCGCCAGAGGCCTCTCTCGTCTCCCCCTACGGCTTCCTGAGAACTCTGCGCTTCTGAGTGCTCCCCCGTTCCTGGGTGTTCTCTGGCTTCCGTATTCGCCGCCAAGTTGGCGCGGTACCACTCACCAGGCGCGTGTCTCTCACGCGCGGGGTACCTCTGAGCAGCCGATGTTGGCATTCCTATGTCCTCCGCAATCTCTTCCGGCTCTGCTCTGCGCTCTCGCACCGTTTCCGAAACTTGGTCGGTTTCGGAAATCGTGCGTGCGTCGCGGCAGCGGTCGCTCGCGGGCGCGTGCGCGTGTGCGGGCACGGTGTCGCGCTCGCCGGCCGCCTCTTGGGATCCCTCCGTGGGGTTGGAGCTTAGCTCAACAACCCCGTTGTCCCCCTCGCCCTCATTAAAGATGACGTCCCATGAGATTATGATCCTCCCGTCGCTCTCCCGGAGCACCCGGTACGCCTAGGAGTCCGGCTCATACCCCACGAACACACACCGCTCGCTTACCGGATCCAACTTCTGACAACTCCGCCAGAACGTGCCTGTAGGCTCGCGCCCCAAACACCCGCATGTGCCGGGCCCACATTGGGCTTCTTGCCGTAGAATGCCTTCCAAGGGGTCCTTCCGTGTGCACTCACTGGTCCGGTTCCGAGTGTGGTTGGCCGTCACAACCGCCTCCGCCCACATCTCTTTGGGCAGCCCCTTATCCTCGAGCATTGCCCGGACCTTCTCTTCCATTGCCGATTGAGGCGCTCTGCCGACACATTCTGCTCGGCCGTGTAGGGGGCGATCTTGTCGTGAACCGTCCCCTTGAACCCGAACACGTCTTTAAGGGCCTTATTGACGTACTCCTTCCCCCGATCCGTCCGCACCGGCCTGAGCTTCTTCCCGGATTGCAACTCCACCCGGTTGATCACGTGCTCGGTCACCTTGGCCACCTTGCTCTTCTGCTTCATGGGGACTACAACCGAGAGCTTGCTGTAGTCGTCCGGAAACGTGGCGAACTTTCGGTTACCCCCGACCGAGGGGACCAGCATCGGCCCGCAGACGTCCATGTGGCTCAGCTCGAGAGGCTCCGTGCTCGCCGACCTCGATTCCAGGAAGGGGAGCCGCGTTTGCTTCCCCATGATGCAAGGCTCACACACCGAGGTTTTGAGCGCCCTAAACGCCCACCGTTTCACGCCGACACCCTCAGCAAGGTTGTCTTGCACCGTCTTCGCCAAGTTCTCATACCCGGCATGCCCCATCCGTCGGTGCCACAGCTCGGCCGTTTCCGGCTTTCTCAGGAACAAACACGCGTCCTCCCCCGGCGCGGCGCCCTTCCGCTCCTGTTTCGAAAGCGGCCCCTTTCCAACCACTTTTTTAGATTCTGCGTTCTCCGCCCGGTCGACCACGTAGATCCCTTTCACTTTTCGAGCTACAAGGACTACCCCCCCGTCAACCTCAAGCCCACAGTTGCCGTTTCCTTGAACAACACTGATGCGACCTTGATTGCCTTGCTCACCGAGATCAGGTTTGCCGCAACTCCTAGGACATACATCACGTTCTGCGGAGTGACCAGACGCTTTCCCGTCGATGTCGCACACAGCAGCTCAACCAAGCCGCCTTCCTATGCCCACAAGGTTCCCTTGTTCCCGAAC